TTTCCTCTCCTTCACTTCCATGCCATCCATCACTAAACCCTGTCAGTCAGTTGAACATCCTAAATATCCTATAAATTCATCAACTGCCCACTTCCAACCCTTGATCAAATCATCCTCATGTCTTCTAGTCCATTGCAATACCTTAAAGATCTTTATTTGCACTGACTTCTGTACAACCTCTTCTCCACCTTGCTGCCAGAGTGGTCTCAAAATGCAATCTGGTTATGACAGCTCTTGCCTAAGTGGGTTGCTTGGTATCCAGTTGCTTTTAGAATAAAGACTTAAAAATTTAATATGACACATATTCTCTTCTTAGAACACATAACTGCTTATGACCAACTTCCTTCTCCTGCCCCTGACAAACACATTTATTTATTACTCTCTTATCTGCAGTTCTCAAGTCAAGTGCTGTTTCCTAAGTAATTTTTTTCCTTGACCAGTCAATCTCTTGTTTTAAGCTCTCATGGAAACTTCATATATTCTATCTCTGTGATCATTTAGTTTGTGTTTATCTCTGTAACTATGCAATGAGCTATATGACAGCAATATCTGTATCCTGTCCATGTTTTCTGGCATAGTGCTTTGAATATGGTACTTACTCAATCTGTTGGATGGATGGATGAATAAATGAGTGAATAAATGATGGAATCATCTTAACTGACAATGATGGAAATCAAAACCGTGCAAAAGCACAGGATTATCCAGATATTTTATTTAAAAGAAGTAAATCAGTAACTATGATATACTTTTAGAATTATTTTAATGCATTCTATGGAAAGAACTGATTTGAATTTCCCTGCATATTATTTGCTTCTGATCCATGGTTTGATCTGATATCTTTTTCTATTAAAGGACAGGAAGAAAACATGTTTTGAAAATCTATTACTCAATACCTTCAATGCAAAGACGGCCAGCTTTAATTCCTTAGCATCTAATAACTTACCATTAAGTAAGTTTGATTTTTCCTCTTACGTCTCCCATTTCTTTACCACTGCCTAGTCAGTTTCCTGCCTGATTTTGTTGTCCCTGTACTTTTCTTTCTCAATCCATCACTTTGTTCACCTTCTTTTGTTTCTATACCTAGCCATGATTGGGCACTTTCATCATGAAATTGCTGTGAATACTTAAATCACTTTATGCAGAGTAGCCATCATTCCTGCTTTGTGAAGATGCAGCCCTGGTACTCACTCTGTTGTTGCTTTCTCTGTCCCACTCATCT